GGCCGGTGGGGCAGGTGGGGCCGGTGGGGCCGGGCTCGAGTGGGAGCGCGAGGCCGGTCAGTGACGGGGTCAACTGGAGCCGGAGGCGGTGTTCTGCCGGTCGACGAGGCGTCAATCTCCACGCCTGTGCCAGTCGGGCGTGTGTTACGCGAAAAGCGAGATCGATGCTGCCGTTGCGCCCACCAACTGGCCGTGACGACTGCACCAGTCTCGACAGTCGACACTCGGACATGCGGTGCTCGTCTGTCTGCCGCCTCCGTCAGGGCGATCAGTCTACTGACGTCTGATTGGCTGTGACTACGATAGGCCGGGCAAATGGCCGACCTGGCTGGACCAATCAGACGACAGCAAGTCCCACAACCTGTCCCCGGCTGGAGCGAGACGGCCTGCGATGAAGCAGCGCGCCCACAAGCGCAAGCGAAACTGCAACTGCAACTGCAATTGCAACTGCAACAATCGGTGCCGGTGGCGGTGGCGGAGTTGATGTTGCTGGTGGCGTCGAGGCTGATTGCTTCAGTTGGAGAACCGCTGGACGGGCGGATTGGGAGAATGGAGAGCGGAGCTGTCTGCTGCGAGGAGGGGGGGCGACGAGGCGACGAGGCGACGCCGATCGTGCGACTGGAGGGCGGTAGATGGGGCCAGAGGGAGGCGGGTGTGTCTCGAGGCGGATGGTCAGCGCCGCCGCTGAGGGTGGACGGCGCCGAAGTGACCGAGCTGGTGGAAGCGGCCGAATTGTCGGAATGTTGCCAATTGGCCGAATTGACCGAAATGCCCGAGGTGGGGGAGGCGAACGAAAAGGGACGACAGAGGGGGGGCGCATGGACGAGAGGGGTGGGCGTCGAGGCTCGTCTCGACGAGAGGCCGGCCTCGGAACGGCTCAAAACGGCTACCGGTAGCGGCAGCGGTAGCGGTACCGGTAGCGGAGGCTGTGTGGTCGCGAGGCTGCCGAGCGAGGTGAGTGAAGAGAGGGTGGAGCGAGAGGCGAAATGGCGGGTTCGAGTCGCCTCTGCGGCCGCTTCTAATTGGCGCAGAGTGGAGCAAGGACTCGGCGATCGTCGAGCCGCCCTTGCGTCCAATCGCTGAATGGGCGAGCTCGTCGAGCCAACGGCGACGGCGACGGCGACGGCGACGGGGATGTCGAGGCTGTCGGTGGAGGTCATTCGTTCGGGTCGCCTGATTGGTTCGGCCAGTTCATAGGCGAGGTTTTCACTCGCCATCTGAGGATGGTAGACGGCCTCGAACGACGAGCGTCGACCGGCCGGTATTTCGCCGAGTTGGCGCTCAAATCGCTCGGCCAATTCGGTGTAGACTCGACCGCGTGCCAACGGCACGTCGTGCTCGCTGCAGCCGGCACTGGCGGTCGCGTTGCTCGACGCCAGACTCCAGCGCTGCGGTCCGAAGAGACCGGCCATCCTCCCGGCCGGTCTCACCTCATCTGCTTCTCCTCTCTTCTTCACCTCCTCCCCCCTGTCGTCTTTCGGCCAGCGGACACGTCGACAGTTGCGCGTCTGTTTGATGCTTGCCGCCACCTCGTCGACTTCGGTCAAGACACGCTCCAATTCGATCAACTGTTGCTGTTGTTGTTGCTGTTGCTGTTTGTCATGCTTGTGGTACTGGTGGTACTGATCATCGTGTTGATAATGATGTTGATGACGACTGGCTGGTTGAAGTAAAAGTCCATTTTGCACGGTGACTAGTTGAGCGGTTGTTGGGGCTGTGGATGAGGTGGTGCGTGCAAGGGGAGACAGACGAGATGCGCTGATTGGTCCCACGAGGAGGTCGCTTCGTTTACGTGTCAAGCTTGACGACGCTGTGGACGGTGGAGTCGTCAAGGCTTGTCCGCTCGACTGAAGCACGAGAACACCGGGATTTGGCAACGAAATACGTCGTGCCTGTTGCCGACCGGACAAATCGCCGTAGACCGCCAAGCCTGCCTCGAGTACAGTCTCTGAATTGGGTCGTGGGCTGCCGGTCGAGTAAACAACTCGACAAGAATGCGTTTGTTGTTGTTGTTGTTGAGAGTCTGGGGCAACCGCATAAACTGGCAGGAAACCGGCGCGCGAATGGTCATGAGCCCGACTCGGCAGTTGCTGACCGCCCACATTGTCCGTCCATCTGGAAACGTGATTCGTCGCTTCTTCCGCTTCCGATGTTTCCCTGTCGCCCAGGCCTGCCCAGTCGTCGGGCACGTGTTGCCCCGGCAACCAAGACCGACAACAACCAGTCTCCAATGTGAGTGAAGCCGAGGGCGAATGGTGGACTTGACGATTAGTCAAGTCGTCGAGATGAGGGGGACAGAAGTTGTCGGACGATAAACAAGGCGGGGCGGCGTCCGCGCTCAGAGAAAAGAGGGAGGAGGAGGAGACCTCGGGGCTGGACTCGGACGAGGTTTCTTCGTCCGCCTCGCCCAATCCGGCTCCGTTTGTGTGGCCTCCGATGCGTAACCAAGCAGCGTTTGTGTGCCAGAGCCTGTCGAACTCCGAACGCGAAATACTGCCAAGCACCGGTGGCGGGCTTCGAGCCTCGGCCTCACGTCCAGACGACGACAGTCCGCCTCGATCGAAGGTTTGAGTCCCGACAGCCTCTTCTTCCCCAGACTGGCACCAGTCAGCTCCGGCTCTTCTGTACGTCACCTTTTCACACGAACACGACTCTGGCTCCTGTGCGTTTTGACGCTGCTGCTGCTGCTGATGATGATGATGGTGGTGATGGTGATGATGATTGGCGCCAGCTTCGCTGCTCGAAGTCGTCTTCACCACGATCTGACGTGAAGCCGGGCTTGTTATTGTCTACCAGTAGAACATGCACACATACACACAGGCATACAGGTATGTACGCAAGTAGGCATTCAGACAGACAAACATGCAAAGAGAGAAAGAGACAGAAAGACAGAAAGGGGAGAGGAAGAGCGAGATTAGTGTCGGTTGGATGAAGCAAAGGCATTGTGTAGAGTCGGGAAATCCGTGCAATATTACAGTGTGCATAGATAGAGTCGTGCTACCGGAACGTCAAAGAGAACAGTCAAGTTGGCGTCTACAGGGTTGTTGCTCGGAGGGTTTCGGTCAGGTCGGATAGATTCTGATCGGGTCCTATCAGGTCTGATCGGATCTGATCCGGTTTGATCTGATCTGTTCTAGGCCTTATCTGGTCTGGTCTGGTCCGGTCTGGTCCGGTCTGGTCTGGTCTGGTCTGGTCTGGTCTTCGATGCGCCGAAATGTTTGGCTCTGTCTTGGTGCCTCCGCCGGTAGGTTCTGTTGCTCTGTACTTTCTTTCAGACCTGTACAGTCATGTGTGTTGCCTTTTCGCCTTGTCATGCATGTACATGCGTGTACAGGTGGCACAGACGGTCTGTTAGTGCGAGTAGGCCTGGCAGGCAGACAGGAACTGGCTGATGTAGGCTTGCATCCGTGTGAGTGCCTAGGTTAGGCAGATCTGTATCATACCCTGCTTGTTCACTTGCCGGAGGGTGAATACATGATGAGCTGGGCTCATATAAACTTTCTTCCATTGTATACTCGCATGGATACACTACA